TTAAAGGAGGACAGCAGAAGAAAGAGCATAGCGAGAAAATAGAGTAAGAGGAAATTTAGGGCAGAAAGACAGAGAAAAGCAAGTTAACCTACAACTCTAATATCCTCCACCCCCTAACAGGTTTCTTCTCAATTGTGAGTACTTGCAGAAGCCACAGCATGAAGTAAACTCAGTTATCTTAATACTACTGTCATCATTATTATATGTATACATTTAATCATTAAAATTCTTCCAGCACCTTTAGAAAAGACTATGAGCACTTTAAATATAAGAAAATGAATCTCACCAAGGTGAAATGGGTAATACATCACAAGACAATACTAAAGTCTGAGCTTCTAGATTTCAAGTTCAATGCTCTGTCACAATTTATTCCATCTATTACATACCTCTTTTAATAAGAAGTATAAAGGACCAGAAACGTCATAAATGAATTAACTAAGAATGGGTTAGCATTTAGAAAGCAGGACATTTCTAGAAAGTGCTTAGCAAAGATACCAGCCTCTTTTTTTTTCAGACTATGGAAGCTGAAAGTTTTATTAGAATATAAAACCAAGAGCAAACAATTTTGCTTTAAAAAATGCAGAATTATAACTGGCTTAGAAAGCAGTACATTTCTAGAAAGTGCTTAGCAAAGATACCAGCCTCTTTGTTTCAGAATATGGAAGCTGAAAGTTTTATTAGAATATAAAACCAAGAGCAAACAATTTTGCTTAAAAAATGCAGAAGTATAAATGGCAGTCTCCTTGGAGGACCATTAACTATCTAACAGGCACTATTTAGCAAACAATGGTTAATTTTATAATCTAATCATAATTACATGGGGCATTTTATGAAAACACAATGAGATGTAACAAAAAGTCTACTGTCAAGGACTAAACTATTATGATGGCTAAGTCTATATTAAAACTGTCTTCATTGAATCTGCGACCTTGAGTAGGTAACTAACCCATTCTCATTAGTTTCTACATGAAAAAACTACTGCAATTATAAATCTGCAATAACTAGCTTACCAGGAAATTGTGAGGAACAATGCACTTGAAATAGACTTGTCTTTCAAGCTCTTTGCTTTCAATTTCTCAGGATAAAATTATTTTTAAAATAAAATATTTCAAAATAAGGAAAAGCAACTAATAGAAACATTAGGATAAATTCATAAGAAATTCATAAAGAAAAGGAAAAACCTACCATTGTCAGCGTGCCTTGCATTTACTCATAAGTTGTAACTTTCTTCTAATAAGGATTTGTATAAGCTAAACTTCCTTGTCTTTACAATACCTACTAAAATAATTTATAAATCCTATCCTAAGACTACTTATCTAGCAAGGTAAATGTTTCCTCAGAGAAAAATCAACTCTTCCCAATATTCATTCAAGACATTTTTCTCAGACAAAAATACACCCATAAAATCATATAAGTAAGTAGTGCTTTAAAAACAGATTACAGAATGCTTCATGTACAGATGTTTGTAGGCAGGTGGGACCATGAGTCAAGTAACCACAAAACATTTTTAATCCCACCCCCTACACTAAGTCATCAATCTAACAGTTAAAATAAGACCCTCCAGGGAGCAAATTTCCCATTTCATCACTTTAGGTCATGGCCTGCTTCCTACCTCTCTTCTTTTTTACTACTTGTCACACTAGAGTGGAAGGCAGGAAGGCAGCTCATGTAATTGGCCCATTTCCAGGCTGAGAGCAAATCTGATGATAAATTAAGTGGAGAGAAAGCTGGTGAGATAAGCTGCTCAAGTTCACTGCTCTCCTGAAGCTATTCTCATACAAGTTATTTGAAAATCACACTAAATCTAAAGCTCACTTGCATTTTGTACTTGTTATTTCCTTAGACATCTTTTTCTTCTAATTTTAGAAACTGAAAAAAAATATAATGGCACATGAACATTGTCTTGCATCCAACTTTACATGTTTCTTTATTCCCACCATTTCAACACAGAAATGAATTTAAAACACATTTAGATCAAAAAAAAAAAAAATCAACAACACTGGAGGCTGCTACTCTTCAAACATCAGACAAATGCAGAACAAAGAACTAACTGATGACATGGACCTCTGGTTAAACTAAAAGTTAGAGAACATAGTGGCCACAATGGATTACGTGAATTAAGGAAACAGGAGGAAATCCCGCAATGCATAAAAGTTTGAAAAATATCCTATTTTTCTGCTTCCACTGAAGAATTTATTAAGCAGCTACAAATAGACTCCTGAGAAATCTGAGATGATTCTTAGCTGGTTTGAATTTTCACAAGGCAGCAAGACTATGAATGAAACAGAATATAAGTCTATTTGAAAAAGTCCTTGAGTGTGTGTGCTTTTGGTGGGTCCAAGGTGCTTCTATGACAGGGTTGTTTACAATTCTGTTGTTTAACATTGGCAGACTTCACCAATAAAATGCTTTACACACCTTATGATAGACAGTCTAACAAAGTTGAGCCTGATATGAGGAGTACTAGAATAAATTTGAATATGTAGATTTACTGACCAAAAAAAAAAAAAATGTTCCAAATATCTTATGGCACCAGGATACTTAAAAAGAATGGTGACAGCAACTCTATTCAAAAGAAGGACAATCAATAGTTGAATGGACAAATACAGAGTTCTGCTGTCCAATAAGGTAGCCACTAGCCACATGAACTCCTGCAATGTGGACATAGTATGATTCAAGATATGCTGTAAGTATAAAACAGACACCAGATTTCAAAGACTTAAGATGAAAAAGATTAAACTATATCAATATTTTCATTGAATGGATATTTATGAACATTGTTATTATTTACTATTTGATGAATATTTTGAATATACTGAGAAAAAAATCAAAATTAATTTTACTTATTTCATTTTAAATGAGGCTATCAGAATATTTTTCCTTTTTCTATTTTTGAGAATATTTTAAATTATACACATGGTTCACACTGTATTTCTATTGGACAGCACTGCTCCAGAGCAATGAAAATGAACTACAGTTCCTGAAACAATATGGGTAAATCTCACTAACATGTTTAGAGAGAATGGCACATATTAAAAAAACTAGCATCAACAAATGTTGGCGAGGTTGTGGAGAAAAAGGAACTCTCCTGCATTGCTGGTGGGAATGCACACTGGTCCAATCACTATGGAGAGCTGTGTGGAGATTTCTTGACCTACTAAAGATAGAGCTTCCATATGATCCAGCAATTCCACTCCTAGGTATTTACCCAAATGACACAGAAACATTAATTCCAAAGAGCACCTGCATCCCTATGTTTATAGCAGCACTATTTACAATAGCTAAGCCATGGAAACAACCCAAATGCCCAAAAATAGATGACTGGATCAAGAAGATGTGGTACATATACACAATGGAATATTACTCTGCAATCAAAAAAGATAAACACATGCAGTTTGCAGCAACATGGATGGAGCTAGAAGGGATCATACTCAGCGAAATAAGTCAGAAAGAAAAAGAAAAATACTGGATGGTCTCACTCATAGCAGGAATTTAGAAAACCTAAATAAGGGACCAGGAAAAAGATTAATTAATACAAAGTAAAAATCAAAATCAACAAGCAACTATAAACCAGAGACACACCACGGGGTAGGGAGGAGGGAAGGGGAGAAGAAGGACTAGGGTCAAAATAAGGGGGGGGTGTAATTGTATGGGGATATAACCAAAACAATAATGCATACATTGTACAAAAATGAAAAATGATGTAAGAATTATATAAAATAAAATATTAATTTAAAAAAACATGGTTTTTGAGTAAAAGAAGTCAGATGCATGAAGTTCAAAATCAGATAAAAGTAAACCAGTGTTAAAGTTATCAACAACAACAAAACACAAACCACCAAGAAAGTGATTTTTACAAAAATTAGGCGGTGGCTACCACTGGGAAGAGAAATAAGTTTGTGACTGGGAGGGGCCATACGGAACCCTCTCATGCATTGAATGGTCTATTTCTTTACTGGGGTGTTGATTTGCTTTGGAAATCTGCACATGCATATTTTATGGACTTTTTTGCATGTTATATTTAAAAAAATTTAAATTTTTAAAGAAATTATCTTAAACTGATTTCCTTAAAAATTTATATTTGCTCTATCAAGCAATAACTTTAAAGAAAATTGAAAAAAAATTGAATTGAATGACTAGCCCTATATTTATATCTCAAATCAATACAATGAAATAAAGGTAAAAATGTTAGGCCCCAGAGCTAGTTAATCAAGACTATCACTTTCTTTAACATGTTTTTAAATAATTTTAAAATTATGTTTAAATGTTAAAAGCATAGCAGCCTATAATTTAAAAGCATTATTTATCCTTTATTAGCATACTATATGAAATAGGTGGTGGATATGTTCTGAAATGTTGTACATATATTCCTGAGTCAGATATTTGCAATGCATGAAATAAAATTGATAAATGTGTTTACAAATAAATGAGATAACATGTTCAGTGAATGAAAGATTTACAAGAAACCCTTTTTGATGTTTCTTATATATAATGATATTCATATCCTAAACTCTCTAAACAAATTTTTTTAAGAATAATTTTTTTCTTAGAATTTTTTATTTTTCTAAGAATAATTTATTTTCCTCATATAAGGTATCCTGTCAGAAACTTTCCAGCCTTGGAAAATAAATTTCAAAAGAAAAATGAAAAAAAAAAATTCTGAGTATGTCTATATCAAATTACTGACAACAATCTACAAAGGTGAATTAATGTCTAAGTACATGTTTTCTACAGGCATTATCTAGTATTTGATAAAATTTTACCAAATGTAAACATATGAGAGATTTCTCTGAGTAGGAAAAGTTTTATTATCTAAGGGGGAATACATGAAACACTTCAAAATAAATGTTTTATGATGCAAAACTGAAAAAAATCTTTGTTACCTAAGAATAATGCTGATGTCCTAATTCACAGTGAATTCATTTTCATGCAGAAAAGTTGACTACATAAACACAAAGGAGTTCAGCAAAGAAATCTATAGAACAAATGCCTATACTCACCATGAACTTGGTTGATTTCTGAATTTTGGGAAAGAATTTCATCTGCTAATTTCTGAGCAGTTGGCAAAACCTCTGTGTGGTGCACTGTGATCAAATACTGTACAAACTTTTGCAGTTGGTCTCTATTCATTTGAAAGAGAGTCTCTGAAATGGGAAGATGCAGTTTGACCTGATCTGGTTTGCGGATGCGGTATAAAGACAATGCCACAACATGGGCACAATAAAATATGTCCTTGTTTCCACAGCTGCAGGTCACTGAGGTAATCTTGCAACGATCAAAGCTGATGGCCACGTTGCAAACAGTTTCTGGCTCCGATTGTATTGCAGGTTCTGTCACTGTGCCGCTCAAGTGGAAACCTATGTGAAAGAAAAGGAAGAGACAGTTTAGTTTATGCACTCAGATGCTACAAAGTACTTTAATTCTTTGAAATGTGTAACACTTGACAGCAAAAAGGAAAAAATATGACAGACTTTGTAAAAACATTCAGGCCACTCAACACCTCCCCTGCCACTGCATCTTACAGGTTAAAAATAAATGGTATTCAGGGAGGGGTATTCAGGGGCCTCCCCGGTGGCGCAGTGGTTGAGCACTGGGTTGCGAAGGTGCCCGCAGCCTCCGTAGCGCCGGTTCAATCCCCAGCTGCTCCCTGGCCACCAGAGGAGGATCCCGCATGGCGCGCAGGCCTCTTCTGCCGCCCGCTGCTCCCCTCAGCAGTGTACTTCAGTCCTTCTGCCTGCTCTACTTCCCACTCTGGCTCTGGTGAATTCTCTCACCCTCTCGTGCTTCTAACTGTACCCAGTGCTTGTATAAATAAATAAATAAATCTTAAAAAAAATAAAAAAAAATGGTATTTAACAGACATGCTGAGTCACATGAAAAGAGTTATTGTAGTAACCCCCCACCATAGCTATAGGAAATATAGATATTAGTAAGCCATCACTATTCATTAGTAAGCCACCATTATTCTACTCTCTATCTGTAGTGCACATAACAAACATCACCCTAAATCAGTAGTTTTCTTTAAAAAACAAAACTTTAAAAAGCAGTCAAGCTCAGCTTTCTTCACAACAAACTCCTCCCCTCTTCCCTATACCTTTATTCCACACAGCCACTAGCCTCCTTCAATAAACACTGAAGTGTTGTTTTTTTTTTTTACTTAATCCTTTTTTCACTTAATAATCCTTTCTGTAGCATGCACAATGTATGCCTCAAAGCACAGCAATGTCTATGGGCAGCGTCAGCTGGTGGAACTGAGAAGTCCACCAAATCTCACACATGTGCCATAATCTAAATAAATAACTCAAGGACTATTTTCTTTCACAATACTGTTTTCTTTCACAATACACAATATTCAAGGACTATTTTCTGTACAAAAATCACCAAATGACATGGCACATTAGAGGCCTTCTAGCTAAACTTAGACCCATAGAGGAATCCTCCAGAACCTCCCTGACAGATAGTCACCTGGCCACTGCACATAAAGGGATCAGAGAGGAAACATTCACCCTGCACAGGCAACAATCCCCCTCAGACAGCTATAGCTACAGCCAACTGAAAACTGCCTTCCACTTGCACCACTCAAGTCTTGGTATGTTTGGCCAGGGGACAATCCTTCTCACTCCTTTTCTTTAAATGGATGGAAAATTACCCTTCCTTTTTGGATTACACTTCAGTTCCACCTTCCTTCTGTTTATCACACCAGAGGTCAGGGATCAACCTTAAGAGGATCCCTCTGAGAAGCTCCAGGACACAGGTTTACCTTAGGATTTGAGTGCCTGAAAGCATTTTGAATGCTACAAAATAAAGCCATTGGCGCTCTCTCAACCTTCCATTATCTATGCTATTGAATAAAATTTATCAAGTAGGCCAATATTTCTTCAGTTCCCCTTCATTCGTAAAAAGAAGGGTCTTTATGGTGTGGGAACTCTGGGAGGGGTGCTTCACATGGAACTGCCAGAAGATGTCTAGAGGTCACATGTGGGGCATCTGCACCTCACTGACTAGAGTCTTCAAAAGAGGCTAAATAGTGAGAGAGCTGGGAAAAACATTATCCAAATTTCAAAAAATTCTTTTAGAGTAGTATCTTCTTAATTCATATTCATCAACATTTAGTGGGAAAAGTATACAATTTTTTATCAAATTAATCAATCTAAAAAGAACATTCCCTAAAAACAAGTTACTATTACTGCTTCACAGTAAGATACTCACAGTATGAAATATAGTATAACACTCCCTCTTTCAGAATGGATATTCCAGTGTCATTTTTCTCTTTTGGTCAAGAAGTTTTTTGAAAATCATAATTTAAAAAAAGATACATGGTAAAAGCACCTATTTTTAAAAACAGTGTATTTTTAACAAAAAAAAATCACATAAAAGGTAAATACCCAAGAAAATCCCCAAATTAAAGAATAATAAGAGCAGTCTTCCTTTATTACATACCAGAATGTACTATAACCAACAGTAATTAAAGCTCCATGGGACAGGCACAGATTAAAGGGGGGAAAAAATCAATGATTCATAAGAAAGAGTCCAAAAGTTTCCAAATATATTCTGTTTTTCACATATATGTGGAAAAGTAACCAGTTACCATATATGAAAATGATTATAAACTGTTTATAAAACTGATCTCTCTCTCTCAGCTTAACATCATCACATTTCTCCTTGCCCATGAAGTCAACCTTCTTGTCTCTCCACAAATTAATCCTGTATAACTTCTCCAATCATAAGCAAAGCCAAGATAATAGAGGACGCAAGAGTTTAGACTAGTTAGTATATAAGTAGTCTATAAGGTTATACACAACAGGTGTTTCAAAAGAGACTGACCTAACTGTAGGGGGAAAAAAATTGATGACGTCCTCAAATAGTTTTGCAAAAATTACTTTCTTTATTTATTTGAGCTGTACAAGGTCGAAGTAAATGAAATTCTAATGTCATACAAGTATGCTGGGGGGAAAACCCACATATTATCCAATTTCATTACATTAAATATTTATTATTCTTGTAAAGTCTTTTTAAAAAAACTATAAAAATAATATGATCTCCAAGACAAACTGGTTCAAGAGGTATGTGAGGGCACAAATGAACATATACATACATGTGTATATATTACAGAGTAACACAATTAATCTGATATCAAAGATTAAGGCATTTCATGAATGTTCATTTTCTAAGTAATTCTAGATTATCTCTCAAGTTCCCAAAAACCTTTAAAAATGCCAACCATTTTTGTTGAAAATATTTCTAAACTGTTAAATTGTACACTGCCACCTTAATCAGCTAAATGCGGTGGTTACCAATTGAGGGGGGCAGCACTCCCTACAACAGACACCCGCAGGAGGCATTCTTTTCCTAAGTGGGCTCTTTCCATCTCATTTCTCCACTACCGGCTATCAGGATGGCTACTTCCCTGCACTTACTAGAAGTTTTCATGGTAGGTTCTCTACCCTTAGATTGGCTGCACCTCTAATTTGTCTTGCTTTCTGGCAGCTGTTTGATACTCAGAAGTCTATTTGCTTTGGGGATGTTCCTCTTTACTTTTAGGTTGGAATGGCTGATGTTGCTAAAGGTTAAAGAGTTTATCTGAAATACAGGAAAAGTTCATACACACAGAGGCAGCTGGTATATTACATTTCAACACTATGTCACACTTCAGTCAAATATGTAAGAATTCCATCAAGCTTCACTTCAGATGAAGTGTTGTCATGAAATTGTGCCTCTCCTATTCGAGACACCTTTGAAATTCCACCAACTCACTTTCTGTGGGTCTTAAATTGTACCAGAGCACCCACAGGAGCAAGAAGAATATCCTCCTTCAACAATCCCTAAAGGATGTGAAGACATCCTTCCTCCACCCCCTCACCTCCCCACACTCAGCTAGCGTTCTCTCTTTAGGCACTGGATAACTTGAAATAAAATAATGTTTCTGAGCATGGATTTGCCATTCTGGAGTTCTTTTTTTTTTTTTTCTGGCAAACCCTGATGAGCAGCTGTTTTAGGCCTGAAAATACAAAATCTTCTGGGATAGTTAGCTGTTCTATATGGCATAGCTAAGGACACAAAAACAGGTAATCCTGCTCTCTGTGGTAAAATGCGGATAATTAAGTTTTATTTTCAAATAATTAAAAATACAATGTCAAAGGTAGCTAATACTGTAAGAGGAAACCTCACAGGGCAGTCAAATTGTTTTAGCATCATGCCACCACAGAGCCCAATAAAACTGTAGCAATTCACACTCTCAGTCTGCAAGAATTGAAGATAAAGCAAAAACAAGGCACACTGTTGTACAGGTCTTGGTAATAGACTCTGTCTCAGGGTACACTTAAATGCTGTGTACCCTGGACACATTATTTGACTTCTCTGAGTCTTGCTCAATTCATGGCAATATGTGGCTAGAAATATATCTCCTGGGGTTGTTTGGGGGATTCAAATGAAATAACATATGTAAAGCACCTGGCACATAGTAAAAGTGCTCATTAAATTTTATTTCCCTTTCCTTCCCTTCCCAGCTGGAGAAACAGGGCAGGGATATTGGATACCTTCCCTTCATCTATAACACTTTCTATTTCTATGCTACTGAATTGTGGGGGAAAGAAGGTCACACTTGGGAGGCAGCTTGGAAAATAAGGATGGCCTCTGAGAATGTTTGAAGTAAGTGAGCAGGCCAACACTGCATTGATCATTGCTGTTTGACTACAAAACCAAAAAACTTCAGTTACACCTTTGCTCAGTTCAGCTCTTTCCCCATTTTCCTATTAAGTTCTCCCAACACAAAAAGAGTTAATTTTATGGAAGTGTTACTTTCACATATAGAAGAACTAGAAAACACTAGGGGAATGATTTTTTTTAAGTTACTATATTTATTTCTAAAATGTTTAATGCAGTGATTCTCAACAAAATGAGGTAGAGACACCCACTTTTCCTGAGACCCTTTCAGAGAATCTATAAGATCAAAATTTGTCCACAATACCTAGGTATTACTGACCTTCTAAACTCTATCATAAGTTTACATTTAGCTATCTATAATGTGTGATATCACGTCACCTTGAACAGTGAACACAGAGACAGGAAAGTCTAGCTCACTCATTACAAACATCTTTCAATGCCATCCTTTTCACTAAAACATTTTTTATTTAGGGGTCTACAGCTATATTATTTTGATAAAGGTATGCCTTTTATGTTAACAAGTTAATTACTATTATTTAACAAATATACTACTTTTTCTTCTCAGTTTTACTTTCAAACAGTAAATATTAGGTATAACCCTCATAAAAAAAAGGACTTTGGGGTCTTCAACAATGAATAAACCCAGAAAGTTAAAGAACTGTTATTATGAAGCTAAGAAATAGAAGAAATAATA